AGAAATTTTTTTTTTTCTTTGATTGAAAAGGTTAGTAATTTGATCAAGAGCAAGGTGGTGGTTACCCTTGATAACTAACTTTTTTAGGTTCTTATGATCAGAGGAAGAAAAAGTCTTGGGCGTCACTTTTTTTTTTTTTTTTTTTTGTGCTGCAACAGCACCCAACCGACAAAACTCATTAATTACATTCCATGCAGCAGACTTACTGCATCTAACATTAGCCGCAATTGTTCGAACCGAATCTCCTCTTTGATATCCATAAATTATTGAACTTCTTTGGCCTTCAGTCAAGTCTTTGCCGCTTCCCATTATTTGTGAGAAAAAAAAAATTTTGTCATACCGATATGTCTATTTTTATATTGCATAACGTTGCCTAGATGTTACGCAATATTTGGACAAAATTTGAGGCGATTTGAAAAAAATTTCTATTTTTGGTAAGTTTTTCTTGAAAAAAAAAAAATCCCAAAAATCGATTTTCGGTCAAGCCTCCAAAATAGAAGTTTGTCAAACTTCTGACGTAACTTTTGCGTGACTTAACGAAATTGCACCAAATTTTATTATATCATACGTTGAGATCGTCGTAGCACGTGATATAAATTCCGTGCTATGTTTACTTACCCGATCATGTGTAATAAAATTTCAAAAAGTGTCCACAATATTTTGGCAGGTGACTGTAGAAAAGAAAAACATAAGATTGATAAAAACCATAAATTGGCATCTGTTATTTAGAGATAGTTCTTATATGCTACTTGCTAACAAGCTCAAAGCTTATCTCTCACCATGGGGATAACATTTGTTATTTAGAAGTAGTTCTCATATGCTACTTGCTAACAAGTTCAGGGTTTATCATCTACCAACAAGGAAATCAGCAATAAACTTGGCTTTTTATATTCTACTACTTTTGGAAAAGAATATATATTTCATTAAAAAAAGTACAAGAGCTATCTTCTACACTATCACCCACTTGCTTATCTTTCAAAGTTTTCAAAAAAAGTGGGCAAAACAGCTTACCCCATCAAAAGATTGGCATTGTTTACCTCTTCCAAATTCAGACAACCTAGTAGATTGCAACTACGTGTTTTATTTATTAATAGATATGGTGCTACTTCATGGGTCTAGGCTCTTAGTTAAAGGAATATCTAAAAATATCATAATCAGAAAGAAATTTATATGTTAAGGTGAAGCTTTACAGTAGAGATTTACAGATATTGCATTTGTTTTAAAACCTTGTATAGGTTATAATAATGTAAAAGATACTTTTCTTCTTTTTTTTTTTTGTCTTTTTTTTTTGTGTCCTTTCTTTTTGCTAGTCAGATTGCCTGGCTTTTCTTTTGTTTTTTTTTATCTTGTCTTTTAAATATTAGATTTATCGTTTAGATTATATAGTTTTTCCTCACTTACTATTCCCCTTTGTTATTCAACTTCCCTTTTTCCTCTTTCATATATGTTCTGTTTTTTTTTACTTTCTTTGATAAGTATAAATAGCTATACTATCAAGATTTAGGTGAGAAAAGTCTTAAAAAAAGGCTTAGGCTTTCTGGCAAAGCCTATAGTTTTGTATATTTTTTACAGACTAAAGTAGCAGGTCACACGTGATAATGTTTCTTGTTAAATATATCGAGTGATATTAGACTTAGAGATTAAGGAATTTATATTGTAATCTTCGTTATAATAAAAACTTAATAAAAGCTCTTGGCGAGACTGTCTAAGTTTAAAAAAAATAAAAAATAAAAAAAAATAAAAAAATAAAAAATAAAATTAAAAATAAGCAAAATTAAAAAAAATTTTAAATCAAATATTATTAATTGTGTATTGATAAGTTTGTAGATATTAGTAGTATATTGTATATTGAAAACTTTATTTTAAAATTATAAATAAATAATCAAATAACTTATAGCTATTGTTTGATAATAAAGGTGTGTAGTAAAATTAATGACAAAGTAATCTTGAAAATATAAAAATATGGAATATATAGAAATTTATATAAAAAATATAAAGGTATATAAAAAAAAAAGTTATTATGAAGTAAATTTTTTTTTTAATTTTATTTTTTTTTATAGAAATATTTATAGAATTTATTACCAGATTCTCTTTGAAAAGTCTTACCTTCAGGTTATAACTATCTAATTCAAGAATTTACTAAACTGTCTTCATATTGAACCAAAGAAGGTCTTGAAATACTTCAGTTAGAGATTAAGGTATTTGTTAATGTCATCATTATAGAAAATATTAAAGCATAGTTTGCTGCTTTTGAAGAGTATTCAAAAACAACAATACTACAAACAAAAGAGTATAGAGTTAAGGAAAGGCAAGTAATTTTCTAAGAGTTAAAGCATTGTATTTACAGTAAAAAGATTAAAGATAAACAAAAAAATTCTAAAATCAAATAAATATAAACAATATGTAATAGAAATACGAATTGTTTAGTGATTATAGATCTAAAATTAGAATTTTGTAATATGTCTAATATTTATTCTTTAGAAGTCAAGCTTGTTTTCAAATATAATTATATTATTGATTTGGCCAAATCACCTAGTCTTTGTCATGTTTAAAAAAAAATAGTTGTAAAATACATACAATTGTTTCATGATAGTTATTTTTTAGCAACTGCTTTGCATACTTACAAAAATAAACTTCATATCTCTATTTTATCAAGTAAAGAACTTATTAAAGCTCTTGCAAACTATTCTATTAATCTAGTCTACAATTATATTAAAAACCTTTTTACTTGGTATTGTAATTCTTAACTTGGTAAAAGAAATAGGCTATTAATATTTCAACATCTAAATAAAAAAGTTAGGAATTACAATGCTTTTGGTTGCAGTTATATGGTTTTTTAGAAATATGATTTTTAGAGTAGAAAATTATTTATTCTTTGTATTGTTATAAGGTTAATGAGTCAAATATATAAATATATAATGCAAGCAAGTAAAATTTGTTATATTGATACTTTTGTATTATTTAAACAATTAAATATTTCTGTTACAGTTCTTTGTACTAGTTGTATTGCAAGTGCTTTGCTGTTAGGCTTATTTGTAATATTCAATAAGTATAAAATTACTGTTGAAAAGGCAATAAACTTTTTAAAAACTATTTTATCAAAATATGTATTTTTTGGTCATAGTTGTGATATTAGGTTACAAACTTTTTTGACAGATGATTTAGCAGCAGAACAAAATGTGTTAGTATATTGTTGGCTACAATCAAATTGACTTTTATATATATTTCACTTTCTTTAGATATTTTGGTGATGGATCTTTAATGTTAAATATAATATTAACAAGAAGTATCATATATTAATTATGAATAAACTAAAACAAGTTCTTTATGCACAAACAATATCTGAAATAAATGTTTATTATTAGAAATTAAGAAATGATTATCAACAATATCTATTACTTATAAGGTATCTTAAACTTTTTTAGAATTATAAATAGTATTAGGTGTATTTGTTTTGGTCTAATTTTCTATTGTATAGCAACCATATTAATAATTACATAGAGTATAGTTTTGGGTTGCTTAAAGATATAATTTTTAGAAAAACTTAGGTGTTTAATTCTATTTAGATTTTTCAATTTATTGTAAAAAATATAGAAAGGTTCTATGAATATCAGTTGCTCGGGTTTGTCCATAATCATCCAGGTTACATAAAAATTGCAAAAAGGTTCTTTTGTCCAGGGTAGAAAAATATTAATACAGATTCAATCAAAAAATTGACCAATAATAATAAATATCAAATTCTAAATGAAAAAACAAATCTTATCTATATTGTTAATAGTATAATCAGAACTTGTAGTTGCCTCGTTGGGCTAACAGAAGCACCTTATAAGCATCAAGGTGTAGTAGCAGCAAAATACCACATTGGGGCAATAAATTTTTTATCTTCAATTACTGCTAGTGATTGTAAAATATATTCTTATATTGCAACTAGTAAGTACATATGGGCTGATTTATGGAATTGCCAATAACTTTTGATATACTAATCTATTTTGAATAATTTTATTACCAAAAT